GCTCGCATTTCATGTTTTGGAATACTCTTTCTTCAGTTCACCGCTAACGGCGACAGAAGGCAGTTGCTGTATGACGGGACGGATCGTGCAATCTCCGCTTGTAGATGAACGTATGTTCCGATCTTACTTACACTCTTTCATTTATTGACTGAATATCGAACGCTGACAGTGGTTGGAAAATATGCTATACCTTTTGTGTTTGCGCCGTAATATCTTTTTCTTCCATATTTTGTTTGAAGCAACAACCCCAGCAAAGTCGTGTCGAAGAATCTATTCAGTGGTGGGATAGAGTAGCCCACGAGTATCACAGATGTGCCGTTGTCGCGGCTCGAAAGTGCGCGACAATGGCGCTAGGGCTTACAAAGTAACTTGGCGACTAATCTTAGCTTTTGGACCTGATACCTCGCGCTCGCCCTCACGCAACTTGGATCACGACGGAGCGGGTAAGACAGCCGATAGGTAGGTAGATATGGTAGCCACACTGCATAATGCGGTGGCTTTCAAAAATTCTACTTTCCACACCACCATCGTGAATCGGTTTGAACCCAGTTTGAGCTGAGGTTGTTGCTTTGAAGCATGCGACAATGGCACATCTGTGATTCTCGTGAGCTACTTTATCCATCCATAGAATAGATTCTTGGATGGATAAAGTTTGACGACTTCTGCTGAGGTTGTTACGCTAACTTATTTTTATTCCTTTCGGAATTTTCCGAATTAATCCGTTGCGCTTGTGAGCCTATGCATAAGGAGTTGCAGAGTTTCCTTCTTTTCGATGTAGTCTGTTTTTTCCTGGAACTGATCTCTGCAAACTTCTGCAGGTCCTAAATATCACATCATGTGCTTACATAACGAATCACAATATATGCTTCAACAGTCTGATTCACCTTTGCATTCATGCATCATTCTTGGATGAATCATTGCTGAGCAAAGGGGAATTCATAACGAAGGTGATGCGGTATGCACCCATGACCTGGTTTTCTTGGAGCTTTTGTGCGTCATCGTGTAGACTGGCAGGTTTTCTCTATAAAGAGGGAGCACCGTGACAATACAAGTTTCG